GAACTCACGGAAAACCACTGACACGCATGTGGTGTCTCCCCGGTCCCCCCAGTGGCCCCAGCACGGTTCCTCCGGGGACTGCCTGGTGCGAGGGCCCAGCGAGGCGGGAGCGGCCGCGTTAAATCCTTTGCGCTGTTGCTGTCCAAGGAAGACGCTTCCGAAAAGGTTTTGTTATTAAGGTTTCTGCTTTCCCTTCCTCACCTTGGTGCCAGTCTGAGCCTAACGAGCAGTTCTCTTCGAGGCATGCTTTCATTTGCAGAGTAGCTGATTGTCCGTAATTACTCATTTGGACTGCCAGGTGGCTGGGATGAGCCGTAAAATTGCTTTGAGGAGTCTGCTTTGGATCGGACTTGCCCTGCGCTGGGCAGGTGCTCGGCGTCCTGTTGGCCTCCCGGCTGGCTGGGGCTGGGGGAAGGGGCTGGGGTCTTGGTGGCGACGTCCCCAGGATGCAACCAGGGGACTGCTGCGGACTGCTGGTTTCACAACTGCTGATGGTCAGTCCGAGTTTGGACAGGTGGTGGGGTAGGTGATAGGTTAATTTTTAACTGAGATGATGTAACGATGTGATTTTGCTTGCTTCCCTCCTGCCTGTGCCGCAAAGAAGGGGAGAAAGCTGCTGCTGGAATACGGAGGGGGGGGATGGGGGAGTGGTCTCTGTGCTCAGTGTGTTTCTCACTAGGCAGGCACCCCGGTCACGGTTTGTAATTCAGCCGAACCACCGAGGCTGGTGGAGATCGATCAGCAGCAATCATGAGAAAATTTTCAATGGGCATTGTACTGTGCAGAGGTGTAACTGGAGATTCCTGTAACCCAGTAATTGCGTTAACAGTGAAGTCGGTGATGCTTGGCAGCAGGGTCTGCTTCTGTGTCTTAGAGGAACACAGCTGTACGCTGCACTTAGTTTCTGAGTTTTAGCTCTGTGGAGAAGGAGGAGCAGTGAGGGCCACAGACTTCCAGTTGTTTCCAGTGGTTAGGCCTGACGGGGCAGAGAATGCTTACGTGGAGTATTGATAATAGCTGGAACCATTATTGTCGGTAAGGAACAATAGCGGAGTTATTTGGTCAGCTGGAGGTCATTGATTCCTGGTGGGAGCAGTTCTGGTCCCCGCGTCGTGTTCCCCCCGTGTCTCTGGATAAGCCGTCCACACAGTCGTGCGCAGTGGGGTGAAGGAGGGGGCCTGCCCAGGTCCCAAACCCCAGGGCTGAGTCTTCAGCTGGGGGAACTGGTGCACGTGGCAGGCGGTGGGTGCTCTCTCACTGGATCTGCAGTTTCCAAGTGGAAAGGCTAAGCCGGCCAAAGTTGTCAGCAGGGTGGCCTTCCTGTTTAGAGCAGCCATGGCCTGTAGTTCTGCTACAGGGAAACTTGGTCGTCTGCGTTCTTACGGGTTTACTGACTTGCATTCCACAGACTGGCTTTGCTTTGCGAGGTAGTCTGGCAGCGGTGGTGTCCAAAGCCCTGGTGCCTGCAGAATTGCCTCAGGTGTATCCTAAATATTGTGAGCGTCCTTTGAAGTGTACGCTGAGTGCCTCAGAAGTGCCAAAAGCCAGCAAGTGCTAGAGTTGTCGTGCACATGTTTGGGGCCCCAGGCTTCGGCTGCCATGGAGCGCATGGGGCTGAACGCTGCGGTGGGGGTAAATTTATCGCTCTTTGGCTTCTTCGGGCTTGGGCAGCTTATTTTGCTTTACGAGATGTGTAAATGGAGCTTGTACTGGTCATGTAGCAGCAGTTGTAGAAATAGAGCATTGAATGCAACAGTCGGGCCTGCCCGTGGCTGTAATTGCGGGCGCGTAGGTCTGCTCTTCTTTGCAGATCCCGTGCTACCTTTGGTGCCTTTCCTTTCGTTTAGTTTGCCTCTCTCAGTCGGTTGTGCAAAAGCAACCGTGTAGGCTTGGCTTTTCCAGTAATAGCGAAGAGCGACAAAGCAGCACTGTGACGTTGCAACTGTGTGCACTTATGTATATTTGTTTTAAATTTTGTCCCTGCAGGCGGAGGAGAGAAGCAGTTGTGCATAGGTGGGGGGTTTAAGCTTTGAAAGTGGATGGATGACGCTAAAAGTTAAGGCACTGTTTATTTGCTGTGTGTGAGTCTAACGTGCTTCTGGCTGCTTGAGAGGAGCTGAGAATAATTTGGATGGGAGAGATGCTCTTAGAGGTGCTATCTGAAACAATTTTAAATCCTCTGCAAAATCATCAAATATTGGGGCAGTGTGACTGTCAAAGTGTGTTAAGAAAGATAATTTTTGCCTGAGCATCTCATGGATGCAGATGAGTAAGTAGGAAAAAAATAGAAAACTGCTTTGAATAATAACTTGCACCACTCACATATGTTCATCGCTTGCGAGCTGTGCTTTGGGCTGTGAAGCCAGTCTGTAACGTTCCCGTTAGCGTTACTGTTGTGGAGAAATGCGATCTGCCCATCCTCAGGTTTCAAGATGTCGTTTATTCTTTAGTATTTATGCTAGAGGTGACAAGTAAATGCAGTTGTTACTGTGCTGGACTTTTTTCGTTTCTTTGCAGGTTGTTGCTCTGGGGTTGTGGGCTGGGTTCAGATTAGTAGAGTAAAGCTGATCCTCATGCTTGCCCAGATCTCGGTGTTTGCAAGACTCTCGTGTTGGGAAGGTGTTACTCTGTCACTTGTTAATTCAGGGGACTGAAAGATGTTTTACATAGCTTGCTTATTTTTGTGGGAAAGCATATGCTGATATTGCTGCTGTCTTTCGTTGGTGTGATAGTTTCTTACGCTTACTAGCCCTCCTTTGAATTCTGCTAGGGCCTCGTGAGCGGCCCTAGGAGAGCGGCACAGCTGCTGCTTCAGGAGGGTGTAGCCGTGGGGCTAGCGCTTCATGGCTGGAAGTGGTGTAGGCTTCGTGCGTTCAGTTAAGGTTCTTTGGAAAGGTCTGTGAACATCACTGGAGCTGAACGCTCTTCAGGTTGTTTCGTTATTCCGAGTCAGTCGGAGAAGGTAGAGTGTCTTCTCCAGCCGGCGTCTCTTCTCCTGTGGGATTTGGTCGAGTTTACTGGGGGTTGTTTTTTATTTTACTTTGTTTTCATTCTTCCGTCATCGATGTGAAATGGTAACCTGGCACAAAAGACTGGCGTTTTTTAAGCTTAGTTTCAAGACCAACAGAAATATACTTCATGCAGTTCCATAGAAATTCCTACAAAAAGTCATTTTCTTCAAAAAACTGCATATTTTCTCAGGCTAAGAGCCTTTTTCTGGATTTCAGTGTTTTCAGAATAAAACTTTGTCCTACTGACATTTTTGTAAAAATAGGCTGTGTTCTTATATTGCAATTAGTCAAACTGTGTGCAGCTGTGAAACCATACTTTAAATAGCCTTATCTTGAAGGCTGTACAGATTGTTTTAGCCTGTTTAACTTGAATGTTTGTAAATCCAGTAAATGAAAGACATGAAGAAAAAAAAATTCACTAATTCAGACTGCTTCAACTGAATTTAAATGTCAAATTGCCGATGTGGAATTACATTAATTTGTTTTTTTCAATGCAGTAGGTAGTCTTTGCTGCTGGTGAAGTGCCCGAGGTTTTCCCCTTGGTCAGCTGGTAGATAGTATTACAGCAGTAGTATTTTGCTTCTAATTACACCTCAGTGGCTGGGTGGTGATGAGAGACTCTAGAATTAGATTTAATGGTGGTTTTCCAATCGCTTTGGGTTTTATTGAGAAGTGTACCGGGGTCTGGAGTTTATTTCTACCCCCGCAAACAAACGGCAGAAGCGTAGGGCTGGTGCCCCCTCACTGCCAGCGTGGGCCCGTCACGTGCAGCCACGCATGCGGGCTGCGCTTGCGGCTCCGTGGGGGTTGGCGGGCGCGGACCCACCCGGCGGGGGGG